TATAAATATAAAAATATAGTAATATAAGATAAAAAAAAGTGTATGTTTTTAATTATTAATGGGATATATGGATGTATGAGACTAATGACAAATTCTGTAAATAGTCTAATAAATCTTGGATAACTCTCTAAATAGAAGCCAAATCATTGTGAGAGCGACACATCAGCGTGACAATCTTGTTAATAACACATGATGGTAAGGTTTTTTTTTTAAATGTTTCTCTATTAATATATAGGGGATGTACCAGAGTCTTGACTTGGCACTTCATAGATCACAACATTATATTTAATGTTTTTATTGTCCTTGATTTTATAAGAAATCTGCAAAACAATATATGTCAGTAAGACCAAAACGTAGTAGACGTGCAAAAAATAGAGAATAGTCAAATCTATTGTAACTCCATAATTCATAACTCACGTGCTAGTACTCACCATGTGCTTTCATTTGGCCTTCGTTGTTCTTCCTTTTTATCTTTTTCTCGAATGAATTGATAAAAATAACATTCAAAGCAAACCTTCTTTTTTAGCACCACAATCCAACACTGATGAAGTATCACCACAATCCAACACTGATGAAGCATCTGACAAATGGCTGTGATGGTGTTAATTAGGTATTTATAAAAAAAGGTAGGAAATCGTGAAGCATAAATATTTTTTTTAGTAAAAAATTAATCTATTTTTCTATTTTTGTTTAAGAAAGGCTGGAAAAAAGAAGAAGCATGCTCCTATATATGGCTAGTAACGGTAGATTGTGGAGATCGTGGAGAAACTTGATTTATTTTTTAAAAATAATAATTGTTTTGTTTCGTCACATTTTTACAGAAACTTGTTTTTTTTTTTAAAAATAATTTTGAATTGACACATGTCACAGTATTATTGGTATAGTGACTTGTGCTTTATAAGATAAAAGAGATTATAAACATGAAAATTGAATTTTCTTTAATATCTCAAAACTAAATAAATGAAATAATATTTAGAAGAAAAAGTACAACAAAAGTAATATTTAGCACCACATGTTGAGATGCTACAACAAGAGTACTGTGGCTAATTGTTTTTTTTTTTTTGTGAAAAATAGACATAAACCAATTTTTTTTTTTTTTTGAAAAACAAAAAAAACCAATATTATTGATAGTGAGGTTGCTTTTGAACGTCATATACATATAACATAAACTAAGTAGTAGCTAGATGCTACTTTGAAAATTCTGTAATGGGGGGATTGACACCTATGTTTATGTATAGAGATATACACATCATAGTATTTTATAAATATGTGGTCCATTCTAGTCTCTTGGATTACTGAAAAAAAATACATATGTGATAGGGTGAGTTAAATTTCTATGCCCAGACGAAACGAAAATTAAGTGGATATGCTTGATTATTAGATATTTAACCCTCTCTCTTCCCTTGCAACATTTAAGACGCAAACACCCCTACAAAACAAAGATAACGTTAACCGAGTAGTATAGGTACAGCAGCATTAAATGCTAAACGATATCTTCGAAGATATTTTCTCGCCGGCATTAGAAAAATAAAGATACAGAAATAATTACACCAGATATGTTATTCACCTGTAAGTCAACGTCTGCTCAGCACATATCCATGGGTTAATAACAATGTTACTCCGATAATACGTTATATGCTAACTATCATCATGCATGTTTTTACCTAAGACTTTTCAACCATTCATCAAACTCCCATCCAAGTTTTGCTGACGATATTGTCCCGATAAGACGTTATTTGGTAACTATCATCATGCATGGGATATTCAGCTGTAAGACAACGTTTGCTCAGCACAGATCCATGTTTTGATAACGATGTTACTCCGATAATATGTTATCTGCTAAATGTCATCATGCATGTGTTTACCAAAAGACTTTTCAACCATTCATCAAACCCTCAACCTATTTTGCTAACGATATTACCCGGATAAGACGATATCTGCTAACTATTATCATGTATCAGTTATTCAGTTGTAACTCAACGTTTGTTCGCCACACAGGGCTATTTTTCGCTAACGATGTGACTCAGATAATACGTTAGCTGCTAACTATCATCATGTATGTTTTCAACACTTCATCAAACCGCAATCCATGTTTTGCTAACGATATTACCCCGAGAAGACGTTATCTTCTAACTATCATCATGCTTGTTTTACTAAATACATTTCAACCATTCGTAAAACTCCCATTGCTGATTCGCTAACGATATTATCTCGACAAGACGTTATCTGCTAACTATAATTATGCATGTGTTATTCAACTGTAAGTCAACGTTTGCTCACCACAATTCACTGTTATGTTAACCGTGTTACCACGATAATACGTTAACTGCTAACTATAATCATGCATGATTTGACCTAAAACTTTTCAACCATTCATCAAACCTCCATCCCTGTTTTTATAACAATAGTATCCCGATAATACGTTATATGATATATAACTACGATAATGTTTTCACCTCTAAAGTTGAAAATAATCAGCAAACACCAAACAACAAGTTTCGATTGATAACATTGTTAGTCGATAATACGACTACCTGCTAACTAAAATAAGCCAAATATTAAATAATCATCAAACACCAAACGAAATTTGTAAATAATCATCAAACACCGAACAACAAGTTTTGATTGGTAACATTGTTAGTCGATAATACGACTAGCTGCTAACTAAAATAAGGCAGATATTAACTTAAAGCAGCTTTTAAAAACATTCATACAAACAACATTCACGTTTTGCTAACAGTAGTTCCCCAATAAGACGTTAGTGGCTAACTATGACCGTTATTACCTCAAAAATTATAACTATTCATCAAACCCAAGACAACAATGTCTCTATGTATTGATAACAATGTTAGGCGATAATTCGGCTATCTGCTAACTATAATCAGATCCTCATATTGAGATCTGAAACAATCCTTTTCTTCAACATCGTAATAACCATGTCCACGGTTACATCTTCTTCAAGCCCAAACAACTTTCTTCTTCTTCTTCTTCTTCTTCTTCTTCATACTTGGATACTTCCCACAAGGTAAGCCAGTGACAATCTTGAACTCTCTTAAAGAAAAACGAATAGGAGAACCCGTGAATAACACCTAAACGCAATCAACCAGGGAGGAAGCAGAATCGGAGGCATCGGTTCTGGAAAAAAATGGATAAAGTCTAGTTAGACAACGAAAAACATGTCGTTGAACCCTTGCTCGAAAAACAGAACCAGAGAAAAAGAATGCGAGAGGACAGTTTTGGGGAGTTGTTTCCTTTTTCTTTCAGCCTCAAAACGCCATCTCTCCTCCTCATATAGGATGAGGAAAAAGACGACTGTTCGGTAACTGGGCAAGAAAAAAATTAAAAAAAAAAATTAAATAAATAAAACTCCCCAAAACAATATCTCGCAAAATCTTCTCCTACCGTCTGCAATGATACAGCCCTATAATATATATGCGATTCCCTTGATGCTATAGGGGTACATGCGTAAAAAAAAATGAACAGAAGCAAGGGAACAGTGCAAAATGAAGGGAGTGAATTATCTATTCATCTATGCATATCAATTGATATTTTCCTATTTTATAAATATGTGGTCCATTCTAGTCTCTTGGATTACTGAAAAAAAATACATATGTGATATGCCTAACCATTCATTAAACCTTGCAGACATAAAATGGAATAAAATAATAAAATGATGTGAGAAAAAATATTTGCGTATGCGAAAAAATGTCTATATACTTTGAGAGAAACTTTGTTAATAATTAATTGTTTAATTAGTTTGTAGACAACAATATTGAAACAAAAGAGAATTCCATAGGGGAACACAAGAATTATAGATCCGGCCGGATCCGGATCCGGATATCCGGGATCCGTTATATAACATATATAATTGACTGGGCCTAACTTAATTTATGCATCATTTCAGACTTTAATTATTAATTCTGTTAATGGGCCTAACACAATAAAGATAGAAGCCTTATTCGATTAGTTGTTGACTTGTTGTGTGTATGGAAAAATGGGGTTTTGGGAGATGGAAGACTCATTTCGCCGTCTCTTCTTCTTCTTCTTCTTCTTTTTTTTTAATCACCGTTTTTTCATTTTTGTACATAAATCCGGCAAATCAACCCACGTAAACCACTGCCATCACTTCGAAGGCATCCCCAACGTTCTTCCCGTAGCCTCTCGATTATGATATTTTGTCTTCCATTCGTTGTGGTTGATATCGCTAGCTTCCGGTGATGATTTCTAGATCTGATTCCACTGAAGATGTTAGAAGAGAGAGTGTGAGTTTGAGGTAACGAGACAGACGACGGCGGAATCAAAAAGTGGTGGGGAAGTGGTGTGAATGTTCCGGTGAAAGAAAAAAATATAATCGGATATCCGGTTTTTTGCACGGAGCTCCGGACGCCGGATATCCGATGGCCACGGATCCGGATAATATTTTCATAGATCCGGCAGATACGGATCCGGATCCGGATATGCCTAAAAACCCCGGATATCCGGATCCGTCTCAGGGCTAATACGAGTCATAACTCATAGTCACTTCCATTTTTTTCGTTTTAGTTTTTTGACTATATACAAGTCTATTGACCATTAATGTGTAGTCTTTACCAATTTAGTAACCTGACACTTTCAAAGACAAAAAATCTTCATTTATTTATATCCTAAGTTTGACTTCAACAAGTTTTGTTATCCTAAATTTGGATTATGAATCGGGATTTGTCGATCCAAATGACAAGACTAGAAAATAAATCTCTCACACACAATAATTTGAAAATTTAGAACAGATTTAAACTGATTTGGGCCTAAAGTTTCTCTAAATTCGCTAAGCCCATCAACTACGTTAAATTGCATATGCATGATGAAATGTCTTTGTAGCACGATTGAAATCGAATCTACCAGGAGTAACTTCTTACACACCAAAGATACAAAAGACAGTAAACTAAGATATAACTAATTAGTTGTTTTTGGTTTTCTTATTAATAACTATCAAACATGAACCAACTTGTTATAACATCCTAAACTTAATAGAAACGCAATTCACTAATTTGACTGAACTCGCGAACCTATCATCCAACGTGCTGACAGGTGAACGAGATCCACGTCCTGTCGCTAGAAATGTGTTATCAGATTCAAAATATATCAACATAGTCAATCAAATGTGCTAATCTTATTATTATATATTATTCCACTAATAAAAAACATATCCATATTATTATTGTTCAAACTGTAGTTAAAATTATTTAATTTTTACAACAACAATATTTGAAAGTAGGGGGAATTCCAAAACCAACACAAGAACCCTCTTTGTATTTCTTGTTCACACAAATCGTATTGCACTCGTTGTTGCCAAGTTTAGGAGTGCAAGGATTGAAGCACAGTTGATTCGAAGCCTCCTCCGGTGCAAGATTACCTATTAGAAAGATCCAATTCATTGATAAAATGTATATAAGACGTACACAAATAAGTAAAACCCACTCATGATATAAAACCACAATTTTTTTTTTTTTTTATAAATAAAAAGAATCATTTTCTGTTTGAAAAATACTTTTTCTAATTTGAATTGAGAAGTATTTTCATAAATGATGCTGAAAATTTTAAAATAGAGCATTTAAATACCGGAGACGTGATCGGAGGAGACTCCGATGAGAACGATGAGGGTGAATACAACCAACTTTTTTAAGGATTCCATCTTCATACCATTCAATTTCTTACACACTTTCAAATGGTTTAACTAAATTTTGTTATAATTATGTTTTTTCTTGCTTATGAATTTACAGGCATGTATTAAGTCTTTTTATAATTACAAGAAATGGTCATTGGTCAATACTTATTCATAACCATAAATTCGTTTTTTATTATTTTACCATACATACTTACATATATTAATATAACAAGTTGACCATTAACCTGTGTAAGAGAACAGCTATGCCACAGCAAATTACTAACAAAACAAATGAAATACAACTATAACCATAATACAAATACATAAGTGTTCTACGCTGCATTCCAATGTAGTACGTTACTACATTTCTGTTGTAAAGATGCATTTCTGATAAATTAATATGACAAAAATGTACATTAATAAAATTATAGCTCAACCAAGTGAAACAATCAACAAAAACTTGATAGCACCGTCAAGGATTTGCTAGCAAAGAATGCTAGAGACCATAACACTATTTCTTCTCTTTTTAGCATTTCTGTTTCTTATTGGTTTATTGACACTGATTATGTGATTAAAAAACAATAACGACAATTAATAATATTATGTACTCTTTCTGTTTTACAAAGATTTTACAAAGACTGCTATTCTACATTTTTCACACATATTAAAAAAACTATTAAAAGTTTTACTATACTCCTTATTAATACATTAAAGAAATAGAGTTAAAAATTAATTTTTATTCAAAATTCTACATTAGAAATACAAATCGATATATTTTGTAAAACAAAAATAAAATTTTAAAACGACATTAGTTTTATGAAACGGAAGAAGTATTATATTATCCTCCCACTAAAAGACTTTATACACAATGTTTACAACAACAAGAACAATGAATAAAAGGTTTGTGAGGAAGTTCATGTTGTTCAATACAACTAGCCAAGTACCACCCGTGAAAGCCATTTCCAAACATCGTTTGTTGCAATTCCTACTCTCCTTACTCTCGTAAGTCTCATTACAGTGGTCAAAGCACGTCTGTGTTTCGGCGTTTATTTTCATCTCTACAATCATTAAAAAAATTGTTATTATTTAAGGGAAAAGTACGAATAGGTACATTAATAATATATTCGAAAGTATAAAAAAACACACCACAAAAAAGCTCATAGGAAATGGCCACCATAATCACGAGAGAAAATGCAACTATCAATTTGGAAGAACTCATTTTTCAACTCTAGCTCTAGCTAGCACTCAATTTATTTTTTCTAAAACAATATATAGATTTTAAGATTTGGTTTTGATGTAAAACGAGCACTTTATAAAAAAAAAAAATATATTTCTATCATAAATATTGTTAAAACCTCATTATTAACAATAATTATGGTTTGATATAAAAGGAGCTAGAAATTTTTAGTGTAGGTATGGTTTAATGTAAAATTAAAAAGTATAAATTCCAATTGAAAAAAATAGCAAAGAAAAGAGTCCATTATTATTAGCTAAAGTGGATCAAAAATTTCTTCCATTTTGTTAAGATTTGGTTTGATGTAAACATAAACAAACAAAAAAAGATTATACAAAGAAATATCTTTCAAAAGGGTATATTACAATTTATAATATTCTTCTAATTAAAAAAAAAAAGAGAAAGTAAACATGATATATTAATATCTTCTTCCAATTTTTAAAAAGAGCAAAGAAAAGGGTCTATTTGTAAAAATAAAGGTATAACAATAAAAAGAAGGCCTCTTGTGATTAGATATAATGGTCATAAGTCATAATCTTTACTCTTCCCAGTTCTTCTCTGTTTTAAGTTTTTGTTAACTTAAAAGGAATTAGCTATATCTTTCACATTGAATAATTTTAGAGCTGTATTGATAATAATCTGAAATAGCAAATTTTCTTTATTGTTTGACATCAAGTTTTCATTTTCCTTCAAATGTTTGATTATCATGGGGTTTATGGACATTTTTTTTTGTTATATTTTTTTTAAAGAATAATCTTTCCTTCAGAGTAAAATTATAATTTTTTCTTGAACAAATTTTTTCTTAAGATTTTTTTTGATAAAAGATTGAAAATATATACTTGACGTAAACATTAGAACTATGCAAATGAAAATACTTATTTTTTAAAAGAATAATTTTTCCTTCAAAATATAAATAATAATTTATTGCGCATTTCTGTAGTTCAGAGTTAATCTTACAAAAGAAAATAGTTGTTGAATGCTTTCTTACAATTTTATCAAAATTTTATATTAACAATTGCTTGTTTTGTTATATGGCAATCACGATTACCCTATTTAAAATAAATCTAGAAATAAAAATACAGTCCTTAATAGAGTTAATATTTTATTATTATATTAAACATTTATATGATCTTCTCACTAAATAATTTTATCTGTTTATTTATTATAGTACTTAGAATAATATATATTTTCAAAAGGAAATATATTGATCAAGGAGAAAGAGGTGAAAGAATTAAAGGATTACAACAACAACGACGAAAGTAAGGTCGTTTGGGAGGAAGAACATAAGCCTTAGGAGGAGGATAAATGCAGCTACCATCTTTATAAGCAAATAATACACACTTTTTGTTACATTCTGGATTTTGAAATGTCGCATTACAACTTTCATCAAAGCATGTCGGAGACACAGTTCTCGCATTTATTCCTATTCCTACGATCATCATAAAAAGTAAATAGAAAATTAAATATACCTAAAAAACAAAAACCAGTATGATCAAATAAGTAAATGTAATAATTGTATTATGTAAAGAGACATACCAGAGAAAAGGTCATAGGAAATGGTCATCATAAGGACGAGAGTGAATGCAACCAACAATTTAGAAGAACCCATTTCAAATTCTCTCGGACAGTCAATTTGCTTATATTAAAACAAAATTTATTGTCTTTGAAGGTATTCTTTGATGTACATTAGTTGAGTATTAAATGATCTATTTATAAAAACATAAGAAGTTCATAAGCATAACTTTTGCGAGTCTATACAAGTTCTAACTATATATGTTAATATAATCAATGTAGATTTTTAATTACATTTTAAATCTTTGACCAAAAAAAAAAACTAAAAGGTTATGGTAAATCATTTGTTTAGTCAAAGTTATTAAGAGAAATATCTTGTGATAATGTAGCACTACGAATTTAAAAGACACATAATCAACATTAACAAATTTTTATATTGACATTAAATTATTCTTAACTTACTTTTTTGAAAAAGTTAAAAAAAACAATAAAAAAAAAAGAGATGCAATACAAATACTTCCTAAGATCACTTATCCTAGTATTCTTTTCGTCTACACACGCTTAACTGCGAAATTGTAATGTGATCCAATACATTAATGCTGGTGTGATCGTATCCGACATTAGTGCTACACATGAACTTTCTATTGACAATGAACTATTGTTTTAACTTTTTGTAAGCTGTTTATGAAATTTCAGTTAATTGTTTCGCATGAGTTTTCCAATTTTTATTGGTTTAGTTATTGGGCATATAACAGAGGGCCAATGAGCCACATCGAAAAGGTCTAAGGTTTATCTAAATATACGTTTGAGTATGTGTTAAACCTTCGTAGGTCTTCCCTTCAATTCCGATGAAATATTTTTCAATTTTAATATATATTTTTATGCATTAATTAAAATTAATCATTAAAAGAGTTATGTGGTCCGTAATTGAATTTCATATATGTATGGTATGGTCTTCCCATTGAAAAATAAAACTCTTTATTATAGTTAAAGAATTATCTATTTCATCAAAGCGGATGAAGAATTATCTATTTCATTTACGAACAACAAAAACGATATGTAGAAGTTTTCGGGGGAAGTCCTTCGGATAGAATGCAAACACCTTTTCTATAAGACAAACCTACACAATATTTATCGCAGTCTTGTGTCAAGAATTTCTCAGTACAATCTCGTCCACAAGTGGGAGGCGAAGCTTGCGCTCTGATTCTTGTTTCAACTATCAATCATTAAACGAAAAAATTAAGAAATTTTTTTTGGAGAAGGATACAAAATTGTATACGCATAGCTGAATCTATATTAAAATAACATATACCAGAAAATAGGTCAGAAGAAATAGCCAGCATAGCAACAACGATGAATGTAATCATCAATTTGGAGGAACCCATTTTATTAAATCAGTATTGTATATTTTCTAAGATAGAGTTTGATTTACATTGATTGAATATGAAATGATCTATTTAAAATTACATTAAAAAAGTTCATAACAGTAACTTCCGTGATTCTGTCCAATTTTTAACTATATATATCCAAGTTCTTTTCCTCTTTATTTTTGTAAATTTAATAAATGCAGATTTTTAACTAAATAGCTATATCTTTTACCAAAATAAATCATCATAAAAAATAAATCATTTAATTTGTTTGGTCTTTTTTTTTTTTGGGCAAAATTTTTGTTTGGTCAAAAGTTAAATCATTTAAAAAATATATCTAGTGATAAGAGCACTGCAAATTTATAAGACACATAATCAACATTAGAAAATTGAGTATTTAATGATCTATTTATATTTTATAATTACATAAAATTTCAGTACCATAACTTCTGGTGCATGAGTCGTTACAAGTTCTAATATACCCAAGTTCTTTTCCTCTTTAGTTTTGTTCATGTAGTAAATGTACGTAGATTTTTAACTAAATAAAATAAATCTTTGACCTTAAAATAATAGATAAATCATTTGATTGGTAAAAACGCTTTACCACTTTGAGGAAAAGATCTAGTGATAATAGCACTACGAATTTAGAAGGCACATAATCAACATTAGCAAACTTTTATATTCTTAGCTTGCCTGCAATATTAGAACTTTATATTGACAAAGGACTAATTAACGTTCTAACTTTTCGTAAGCTGTTTAGTGCAATTTTAATTAATTGGTTCATCGAAAATTAATAGTTTTCGAGGTTGGGTTGGTTTAGTTATTAAGCTCAAATAACAGAATGGCTAATGTCCACAACAAAAATTTATTAAAAACTCGCTTAAGTATCTGCTAAACCTTCATATATCTTCCCTTGAATTTTGCATAGATACTTTTCTTATAAAACCATAACGGTGTGGAGATACGTGTAGTCCAAAATCAATTACTCATTAGCGAAGCTTCTTATCGTTGAGACAACTGACTTGTGTAATGAGTCGCTTTGCTAACATTGAGTCGCTTTGTTAACATAAAGACTTCACCGTAGAAAAAAAGAAATTAAGATTAATTGAAATTTTATATATGTATTTTCTCAAATAAAGGAAGAAAAAAGAAAAACTCTTTTAAGTAGATTTGAAGTAGAAAAGCATAAACATATTTTGATCAAAGATGAGAAATTAAGAATTACATAGTGGATTTACCAATAACAACAACAATAATATGAAGGAGGTTTAGGTCCTACGAAGGACCTTAGAAGGCAAACACCTTTGTTGAAAGACAACTCTTTTGTACAATACTTTTCGCATTCTGGACTTTGGAATTTCTCGTTACATTCGTGACTTGCTTCTACACAATTTCCCGTTGGAGCTACCATCATTTTGACAAAAAAAAATTATTTCAAATTTAGAGAAGTAAAATAAAATGTATATGTGATATTCATATATATATATATATATATATATATATATGCCAAATATCTCTTCACAATTTTTATCGTTATCTTTTTCTTTCTTCTCAAGTCTATTTGTAGTTAAGAGTATCAGACAAAATGGTCATTGGCCAGAACTCATAAATTCGGTTTGAATCAATTCATACCATTCACAGTATATGACCAATTGACCAATATATGTTTTTTCCTTATAACGTGGCACATTTTTACTGAGAGCATACATTGTTCAAGATTTTTCGCAAACAGACTGTTTTATAAATTACTTTATTTTATATATTATTATATCTAATGTAGAGAACTTTCGCAGAACAAATCTAATTAGGGAATCTTGTAACATTGTGGATTGAGTCCACTTATAGATAAATTGCCCTAATGCGCTCTAAGAGAAATTGAAAAAAAAAAACAAAAAAAAATATTGGGTTTATTAACCAAGATCAACTCATTTGTTTCATATAGCAAACATAGTTATTTAGAGATTCTTCAATATCTTCATACAAAGTATTACACAAAAAATAAAAAAGCAAGATCACAATCCGGTAAAGTGAAATTAGGAGGATCACTTTGGTCTACGTGCATCATGAAACAACAACCTCACATCCTTTGAATCAATATCTAACTCTTTCTCAACTCCGCCGCTAAAGAATCGTTCATAAACTTCCTTGATAACTTTCAAAACATTCCCCAACGATCCATCGTTTCGACCCTCGTCTCTCTTCTCCTCTGCATAAGATTTCGAGTACTTCACATCGCGTCTTGTCTTGTCACTAAAATAATTGTATTTGGTGATCTCTAGCAGGTTCCTCTTGTGATCAGGCCAAACTTGAGCAGTATCATCCACAATCACAACTCCACACTCATCTGCCAAAACAAGATCAAGTGTCTTTATATAAGGACTCTCGTTTCTGGTTATCACTCGATCCCCAAAGTATACTTTCTCCGGATCAATCAGCTTCAACACGTTCTTTGCGTAATCACGATCTCCCATCGTGTAAACATACATGGAAAACATCTCTTTGGCTTCTTTAAGAAACTCGTGAACATAAGGTCTAATCTTTTTATGGACATTTTTGTTTTGTTTCTATTTTTAAAGAATATTTTTACTTTCAGAGTGAAAAGAATAATTTTTCTCTTGAACAAATTGATATAGATTTAGATAGGCAAAAATGCTTAACTTAAACATTTGAACTATGCCTCAGCATTTGAAAATTTTGGTTCGATTTGGTTATGAACTTCATAAATTTGGTGTGTTCAGTTTTCAGAAAATGTTTCTGAATTAAACTGAATTGAATATTTGGTTTTCCTTCGGTTTGAAAGCTAGACAAATTCAGATTTGTTCATAGATATTTAGTTTTATATATTTTCCAATTAGAACATAAGATTTCCTATTGAAAAGAAGATTATCTATTTATTTATATTATAGGTACTTAATCAAGGAGAAGGAGGAGAAAGAATTATAGGATTACAACAACAACGAGGAAAGTAAGGTCGTTTAGGAGGAAGACCATCAACCTCAGGAGGAGGATAAATGCAGCTACCATCTTTATAAGCCAATCCTACACACATTTTGTTACATTCTGGATTTTGAAATGTCGCGTTACAACTTTCATAGCATGTTGGAGGCACAGTTCTCGCACTTATTCCTATTCCTACAATCACCACAAGAAGTAATTAAAGATGAAAAATACGAAAAAAAAAATCAGTATGAATAAGTAAATGTAATAATTGTATTATGTATTGAGACATACCAGAGAAGAGGTCATAGGAAATGGTCATCATAACAACGAGAGTGAATGCAACCAACAATTTAAAAGAACCCATTTTCAATTTGCTTTTATTAAAAAAGGATTTCTCGTCTTTGAAGATTTTGTTTGAAGTACATTAGTTGAGTATGAAATGATGTATTTATAATTACATAAGAAGTTCATAACCATAACTTTTGTCAATATAATCAATGTAGATTTTTAACTAAAAATTTAAATCTTTGACCAAAAATAAAAAACTAAAAGATTTTGGTAAATCATTTGTTTGGTCAAAGTTAAATCATGTTAAGAGAAAGATCTAGTGATAATAGCTCACTATGAATTTAAAAGACACATAATCAACATTAACAAATTTTTATATTTAGATTGAATTATATTCTTAGCTTACTTGCTACATAAGAAATTTCTACTAACAACGAACTATCGTTTTTAACTTTTCGTAAGTTATTTGTATTGATTTAGTTATTGGGCATATAACAGAGGGCCAATGAGCCACATCGAAAAGATCTAAGGTTTATTCAAATACTCGTTTGAGTATGCATTAAACTTTCATAGATCTTCCCTTCAATTCCGATGAGATACTTTTCCTCTTAATATATACACTCTTGTTTTGAAAAATAAAACTCTTTATTATAGTTAAAGGATAATAAACATGAATATATTTGATCAGAGCGGATGAAGAATTATATATTTTATTTACGAACAACAACAACGATATGTAGAAGTTTTTGGAGGAAGTCCTTCGGATAGTATGCAAACACCTCTTTTATAAGACAAACCTACACAATATTTATCGCAGTCTTGTGTCAAGAATTTCTCAGTACAATCTCGTCCACAAGTGGGAGGCGCAGCTTGCACGCTGATTCCAGTTTCAACTATCAATCATTAAACAAGAAAATTAAGATTTTTTTTTTTTTTTGAGAAGGATACAAAATTGTATATGTAATAGCTGAATCCATATTAAAAATAACATGTACCAGAGAATAGGTCAGAGGAAATGGCTAGCATAGCAACAACGATGAATGTAAACATCAATTTGGAAGAACCCATTTTAACAAACCAATATTGTATATTTTTAAGATAGAGTTTGATTTACATTGATTGAATATGAAATGATCTATTTATAATTACATAAAAAAGTTCATAACCGTAACTTCCGTGATTCTGTCCAATTTGTATCTATATCAAAGTTCTTTTCCTCTTTAGTTTTGTTGATATAGTAAATGTACGTAGATTTTTAACTAAATAAATTAAATCTTTGACCTTAAAAGTATCTACAAGGTAAATCATTTGTTTGGTAAAAACGCTTTACCACTTTAAGAAGAAGATCTAGTGATAATAGCACTACGAATTTAAAAGGCACATAATCAACATTAGCAAACTTTTATATTCTTAGCTTGCCTGCTATATAAGAACATTTTTTTTTTTTTTAAACCTTATATATTGGGTGAACGACCTGTGTCCCCCCAGTAAGTTTCATATAGTACCATAACAACACAGATTTCGGGTCTCGTTTCCAGTCCACACAAAACAAAATTTAAACTTCAGATTCCCCCTAAATTGAAAGTTCGAGACCTCATTCCCCATATATTCAAATTTCGTGGTTTATCATTGGTTAACTGTGCCGAAAAGCAAATTAACCACTTAAAATCAAATTAAACCGGATTTATCCAGAACCCAACCCAATTAGTTGACCCATCATTATACCCAAGTGAAAATCCGATTCGAATTATGTAATGGTACGTTTCCGATTCCGATCTGTGATTGTTTTTTTTTTTACAGAAATCCAAAGCCACCTTAAAGTATGTTCAAGATTAAGAAGAGCAATCTGGAGAAGAAATTGAACGAATCCAAAGCCTAATACTCGAGTTTAGGTAATGAAGAGAGAGAACTTGGTATAGAACCATAGAGATCATTGAAGGAAAGGTCAATGTACTCAAGATTCTTGAGCTGACTCAGAAACTCATGAACCGGACCGGTGAGATTCGTCCAGCTTAGTCAGAGAAAAGTGAGATTCTTGAGCTTGGCAATAGTGGGTTGGATCTGACCAGTGAGGTTAGTGAGTTTGCGGAAGATAAGGGATGTAAGATACGGTAAGTCACCGACTTCAGCTGGGATCTGAACGGAGATATCGCCGTCTTGTATGATTAGGGAAGTGACGCGGTGGTTGACGGTGGCGTCGCCGCACTCGAGGCAGTACCAAGAGCAACAGTCGGTTTTGGGATCCCATACGGTGGCGTCGCCGCACTCGAGGCAGTACCAAGAGCAGCAGTCGGTTTTGGGATCACAAGTAATTTTAGCAATCCGATTTGGATTTGTTCAATTTCTTCTCCACACCCAATTTTGATTCCGATTAAACGAAACACAGCTTCTTCGTGATTCTAACTTTCTCGTACCGATCACCAGCGAATCAGAAGGATTATAAAGAAGAAAAGAGAATGAAAAAAAGGAGAGGAATTGTGTAGGGAGGAGAAGAAGAGAAGAAACGGAGGCTGCGTTAAACAGTGAGGAGGAGGAAGAAGAAGAAGGAAGGCGGTTTACTAATCGGGTTGGTTTCTGGGTAAATCCGGTTTACTTTCGATGTTAAGCGGTTAATTTGGTTTTCGGCATAGTAAACCAAAGATAAACCACAAAATTTGAAATTTGAAGCAAACAGTTACAAAACAGAGAATCATCGGAAGTTCACCGGAATCGGAGCTGCGGCTCGGAACTCCGGAGGCAACGAGCCAGACGCACCATACCCGGCGGATTCAAGGCCCACAGCTTTGCAGTAGCGACGAGGGGATGATGCCAATGAAAGAAGAATCCGATTTCCACCGTCGACTTCACTCCCCCGAGCCACCGGACCCGCACAGACCTCCAGGGATGCGTAACTCGCCAACAAACTTTTCGTAAGAACTTTCTATTGACAAAGAACTAACGTTCTAACTTTTCGCAAGCTGTTTAGTGCCATTTTAATTAATTGATTCATCGAAAATTAAGAGTTTTCCAGTTTAGGTTGGTTTAGTTATTGAGCTCAAATAACAGAATGGCTAATGTCCACAACAAAGAGTACTTTGCTTTATCAAAAACTCGCTTATGTATATCTGCTTTTTTTGTGCGAAAATGTATATCTGCTAAACCTTCATATTACTTCCCTAGAATTTTGATTAGATACTTTTCTTATACGTGTGGTCCAAAATCAAGTACTAATTAGCGAAGCTTCTTATCGTTGAGACAACTGACTTGTGTAATGAGTCGCTTTGCTAAGATTGAGTCGCTTTGTTAACATAAAGACTTCATCGCTCAATTGTAGTCCATCGACTAGATAGTTGAATCTCCACAGTCAATAAGCAGTTATAGAATATTCCGTAATGAATATAGAAATGGACACATTACAAGAAGACGAGAAATCGATCTCTGAATCGATTTTTTTGCCTTTTTTCTTCGTTTTTAGTGAAATATTTTGCATCACAACATATTGTTTATTCTATGATCAATATCTATTGGGAGAACCGGAGATCGACCGAGATCGACGATCGAGATGATCGCCCAAGATTATGGAAATCATGAAGATCGAGAAGGATCTAGAAGATTATCATAAATTAGTTTAGGAATATTTACATTTATCTTTAAAGTATTATTTACATTTATATTTATCATAAATTAGGAAACTTAGATTAATCTCATCTCTATATAAGAGAATGTATTTTGTAACTTTATTCTTATGAGAGTTTATTATAATTCTTCCTAAACACTTTTTGTGTTCTTTACTCTCATCAATTTATCATGGTATCAGAGCCAAGATCCTTTCTGTGGATTTTGGATCCGTTACGTTAGCTTCCGCAAAGAAAAAAAAAAATCAGTTTCGGGAACAATGATGTTTTCTCGCCCTCGCGAGTTTAACTTCTCCTTTTGATTAAACTACTCGCCCTCGTGAGTTGTTTTTTTTTAGTCTCGCCATCGCGAGCAACATCCGAACCTCGCAATCGCGGGTGATATTTTTATTACTTGAACCCTACGATCGGGTATAAACGTCGATGACCTAACGGCTGGGTTTTGTAGCCGCTTTGAGCCCTACGATCGGGTATAAACGTCGATGACCTAACGGCTGGGTTTTGTAGCCGCTTTGAACCCTACGATCGGGTATAAACGTCGATGACCTAACAGCTGGGTATTGTAGCCGCTTTGAACCCTTCGATCGGGTATAAACGTCGATGATGACCCGACGGCCGGGTATAAAAGCCGTTATTCTGAAGACTTGTCCAATCTCAAACGTGTAACCACGTATGAGCTTGCCGGGGGGTATTGGGAGAACCGGAGATCGACCGAGATCGACGATCGAGATGATCGCCCAAGATTATGGAAATCATGAAGATCGAGAAGGATCTAGAAGATTATCATAAATTAGTTTAGGAATATTTACATTTATCTTTAAAGTATTATTTACATTTATATTTATCATAAATTAGGAAACTTAGATTAATCTCATCTCTATATAAGAGAATGTATTTTGTAACTTTATTCTTATGAGAGTTTATTATAATTCTTCCTAAACACTTTTTGTGTTCTTTACTCTCATCAATTTATCAATATCTCCGAGGGAGCTTATCAATAGAAACCCTAGAGAGAAGGAGTGGTGGACTGTGATAACGATTAATTGAAATTTTATATATGTATTTTCTCCATTTAAAAAAAAAAAAGAAAAACTCTTTATTAGATTTGAAGTAGAAAAAGCATAAACATATTTTGATCAAAGATGAGAAATTAAGAATTACATAGTGGATTTATCAATAACAACAACAATAATACGAAGGAGGTTTAGGTTCTACGAAGGACCTTAGAAGGCAAACACCTTTGTTGAAAGACAACTCCTTTGTACAATACTTTTCGCATTCTGGACTTTGGAATTTCTCGTTACATTCGACTTGCTTCTACACAATTTTCCGTTGAAGCTACCATCATTTTGAGAAAAGAAATTATTAAAATTTAGAGAAATAAAATAAAATGTATATGTGATATTCATATATATATATAACGAATAATACCAAAGAAAATGTTACAGAAATTTTTTTTGTTTTTTTTTTTAATAAAACAAAAGTTACAGAAATTGGTAAAATAAGCAAGACAGTAAATGTAGCCAGTAGCTAGAGATAATTGGATCCTTAAATTTTTTTAGTAAGAATCTCTAAATTTTGATAGAC